CCCTCGCTCCCCAGTTCTCAGTACTCGGGGTGAGACCTGACCAATAAATGCCCAGAGCATAACTGAGCGGCCTCCTCAGCCTCCCCAGACCGGAGCTCCAGGGCAACTACCTCCCTACCTGGATCACAGCCCCAGACAGGGACAGACGTAGGGAGACAACCGCCACACACACATACACACACCAGTCAGCATGGCCTGCAATGCCCTAAGAGAGGAAGGCGCACAGGAGGGCACCCCGGGCTCCTGAGCTGCCCCGGAGGTTCAGGCCTGGACCCACACACAGGAAAAGCCCTCTTTGGGGCTTATTTCTCCCCAGGTTGAACCTGGGGGGAAGGTTGGTTGTTTGTCTTGTCTTTATGAGACAGGGTCTCACTATGCAATTCCAGCTGGCCTTGAGCTCACAGTGTAGTTCTGGTGGGTTTTCAACTCACAACTACCCTCCTGCCTCAGCCTCTTGAGCACTGGGATTACAGGCACGCACCACCACACCCAGCTAAACCTGTGGTTTTGGGTGCAGTTTCCTCCTGAGGGAACAGGTGGCAGCAGGAAGTGAGGGCTGAGCTGGTTCTCAGGCATTTTCCCTGGAAGGAGGAGAGGGACCCCAGCACTGGGCCCTCGGCATGCTAGGAAGGGAGGGTTTGACCACTCCCTCTCGGCCTCAGGTTTAATGTCGCCTCCCAAGGAGGATACAGAGCCCCTCACCCGCTCAGCACTCCTGCAGACCCTATGGGTAAAGGTCCTCTGAGTGGTGGCCTCATTGCTCAGGCCACTGACCCACCCCCAGCCCCACACCCTGCCCTGGGTGGGCTTCGCCATCGCCATTACAGGAAGAACAGCGTGGCTCTCTCTCCTCTGCACCGGTGTTAACAAGGATGCTCCCTTCAGGAAGGAAGAAAATGAGTGCACCAGCGATCCAGGCTCGGTAGCTCTGCATGCACCTGCACTGATAGTGACTGACAAGATAGAAACCTGTTTCCCTCTTTTGGGGTCCAGGTTTTCTATCTTCTTCCTTTGTTTTGTAGGAAACTTCGATCTCATGGCACAATAAAGTTCCTCCAGCACCTACCCTCACATCCATCCTCTACTCAGTGAGAGAAACAAAGTCAGAGAAAAGATATGCCCTGGAAGTCACACATATCACATCTGCTCACCAACCGACTGGCCAAATCTTGACCAGCGAGTCATGCTTGAAAGGGAGCTTGGAAAAGTGGCCAATGGCTGATCACTCATGTCCAGTAAATTGATCATTATACAGGGAGACGGGCCTGGCTACCAGGGGATGTTGCCACCCAAGGGCTATCTTGCTGCTCACGGTGTCACCCCTTGGCTGCCACCAGTACAGCTCTGTTAACCCGCATTACAGATGAGAGCGTCACGGTTCGGAGAGTTTCACAGTGGGTGAGTGGCCCTTAGGATTGCAGCCTGGGACTGCAGGCTGCCCCAGGCCCAGTCCTGCTGGGACATTTTGCATCATCTGAGCAGTGGAGGAGATGGGACATCCAGGTCACACACGTCCTCTCTCAACCCACACCCGTGCAGGGAAGCAAGGCCAGGGTCCTGCCTTTGCTCCCCATCCAACACCATTTCATATGTCAAATCCTCTTCGCTGATCTGTCCCTCATGCTGCTTTAGGCACAGTGGGGCTGAGTCCCAGGGGCCTCTCATTCCAGGGGAGCTCAGGATCAAGAGGAGCAGACAGGGACGGCTTCCCTGAGGCCACGACTTGCAGCCTGAGCAGAGGCAGCAAAGGCCTCTGGCAATGATCGCCTCGCAGCTGCACAGGCTCTGAGGTGAGAGTGGGGTGCTCTGTGGGCACAGGAAAATCAGCCACATCAGGCTTGGGGCAGGTAGAAGGCCTGGGTCTGAGCCCCTTCCATGAACACCCGCCATATGACTATGGATTTTAGGCTCAGTGCTCAAGAGTGCGAGTTGGGGTGGTGGTGGAAATTGTAGGAAGGGGTTCAGCTGCTGTGGCCCATGACAGCAAAGCAGGGTGCTTAAAACAACAGAAACGTGTTCTCCACGGTTCCGAAAGGCAAAAGTCAAAGTCAAGGAGCTGCTCTGCTCGCTCCTCTGGGGGCTCCGAGGAGACCCCCTTTCCTGGCCCCTCCGCTCACTTCAGGTGACTTCCGGCTTCCTGGCTGCCCCACAGCTGGGTTTCTTCACTTGTCTCGCTTGCCACTGATTTGGGGTGCCCTTGGCTAATGCAGAGTGTCCTCATCTCCAGATATCCTTAGTTCAATGGGTTTGTATCCACCAAGGCCCCTTTACAAGTAAGGGCAGGCTCCCTGGTTCTGGGTGGATGTATCTTCATGATTCAACCCACCAGAGGTGACAAGGTGGACCCAGGGAGACCACTTACCAGGCCACTGCTATCCCCAGGTGAGCTGTGTCACAGTGGCCCGCACCAGACAAGGCAGCAGTGCATTGGGCAGGATTCTGAGAGGGAGCAGGTGGTGTCCAAGCCTGGGACAGGAGGAGCTATAGGGTGTGGGCGAGGGTAAGGGAAGGGTGTCTGGGCTTTAGAAACTGGAGGGATTATGGCTTTTTTTCCCCAAAGCATTAATTTCTGCAATATTGTGCCACAAAATTTACCCTGCTCCACAAACCCAATTACCCCAGTTGCAATTCCCGCAGGCGCTTCCAGCCTCTTCAAAGCACCCCCGCGGACGTGTTTCAGGCTGCTGAGCTCTGAGAAACACAAGAAGACCTTCTTGCAATCACTAAGTAATTGCTTTTTGACTATAAAAGTAATTAAGAAATGGCACCAATTTCCCTAAGTGTAATGTGATTAAATCCAGTGGCTTGGGAAATCATTTGTGATAAACTGACACAGCCAAAGACCAGGCTGCAGGAGTCAGGGAGACACCTGAGATGCGAGGTGTTCTCCAGCCTCTCCCCACAGGGCGGGCTCCTCAGCATCCAGACATGGCCGGCCAAAGAGGCCCAGGTGGAGGACAGGAGAGCCAGATTCCCTGCAGCTGGCGGGGTTAGGGCAGGGCTGTGGAAGCCCCCTGCTTGCGCCTGGGCTGAGGCAGGGAGCCCAGGGACAGGGCAAGGGGCAGTGCCAGACCCTGAAGGTAGAGAAGGACACGGGCTTTTCACTGGGTGAAACACAGGCATCCAGCAGATTCCCAGGACTGGGACAGGCCCAGCCCTCATCCCTGATGCTACCTTTTCCAGGCGACCTCCGGCACCTCATGTGGCCGCCCTTTGTTGTCCTTACCTGAGGCCTCATCCCCATCAGGCTCCAGCCTGCAGAAAGGTCAGCTCTGACCGTGTTATGGACCACCCAGAAAACACGAGCCATAGAACAGAAAGGCTCCCCCCAGCCTCCTGGCAGCAAAACCTTGGCAACAGCCAGAGAACGACTAGCTCAGCTTTTTTTTAAAAAAGTATTTAGTATTTAGTATTACTGCTTTTTAGTTTTCAGGAGCTGATCATGTGACATGTGCTGTTTGGGGATATATTTTTGTCCTAGAACAATAACCACAGATGGCTTTCCATGTTGTCACATATTTATTCTCTCTCTCTCTCTCTCTCTCTCTCTCTCTCTCTCTCTCTCTCTCTGACACAGTCTCAGCATGTAACTCTGGCTGGCCTTGAATTTCTTTATAGACTAAACTGGCCTGGAAGTCGGAGCAATCCTCCTGCCTCAGCCTCCTGAGTGCTAGGATTATAGGAACTTACACTGAAAGTTTCAGGGCCTTGGAGCCCTGGTGGCCTGGCCACTTTCTCCATCCTGTGAACTGGGTCACATCAGAACCCGCTGTCCCTGCAGACAACTCTTCAGCCCATGGGCTCTCAGCCAGGGCTGGGACCCAGCCACATGGTTCCATGTGTTCTGCCTCCTCTTTGAAGGGCTGTCCTGGGCTGCAAGGCCTTCTTTGAAGTTGCCCGTGGTGGTTCGCCTCTCTCAGGGAGTTCATTTCCACGTCCCCCACAAGCCCAGGAGATATAGGCCTGGTGACATGGCTGGAGAGATCCTCAGGGATCGGGCAGCCTTTCTTCCCCAGCTCGATGTGTTTTGTTTGAAAACAGCACAGCTTTATGGCCAGCCAGGGCCTGCGATGCAATCTGGCGCCCAAAGCTGAGTAAACAGCGCGGCTCCTGCACAGCCTGCTGGGCTGCGGGAACCCACTGGCCTTATCTGGGACCCTCGGGGCGAATGCCAGAGCATAACAGTACTGGGAGCTTTGCAGTCTGCTCTGCGTCCCTTCAAGCCTCTTTCCTCTCTGAGCCTTAGTTTCCCCATCTGCATGACGGGAACAGTATTGCCTGGCAGCCCGGATGTTCTTTAGCAGACAGCGCTGGCAGCATGGGACCGGAGTGGCCACCGTATGGTGGCTTGAGCGGGCGACCAGGACAACTTCCTGGCCTCTCTGAGGCTTGGTGGGGTGCCAGCACGCAGAGGTCCGGGGCGGGGGGCTCTTTCCAGGTCCTCGGTGTCCCCAGGACTTAGATACACACGCAGAGTGACATTGCACATTAAGTGAAGGTGCAAAAGAGGCGCCTCCGTGGGAGGAAAGCGCGCTGCGGAAGGGTGAGGGAAACGCGTCTTCGGTACCCAAACCTCCCTGGTAACTAACTGGTGTAACTAAGCACTAAAAACTCCCTGGGTGTTACGCCAGGTACACACCCTCCTGCAGACAAACTCGCTGGGTTTCCTGCAACATGTAAATGAAGGCTCAGCTACGCCTTTTGATTGGTTGTGCCCACATGCAAATGAGGGATGGAAAATCGCATCTGGGATTGGTCCTGTGATGGTGGCGCAGACCAATGAAGGACTGAGAATACTGCTTTCTGATTGGTTACACGTGCAGCGCTCAGGAGCCCTGCGGTCATTCTGGGCGCTCTGTTGGTCATTCTTTCTATGGACCATCTCGTTCAACCTGCGAGCCGGGATTTTTATGACCTTTGACACAGTTAGTTGTCCCGTGTCCCCAGCCCTAATCTGCTGCCTCACGGGCCCCTCAGTGATGCCTGTTAGTCTTTCAAATACACTAACCTGGCAGGGGAGACGCCGCGGCCGCGAAGGTGGTTCCCCAGGGCGACTCGCATCTTGCACTGTGGCTGCGCTGACCCCTGCGATTTCCCCAAGTGTGGGAAACGCGACTGCGTAATTTATTGTAGTTGGGGACTGCGTTCGCGCTCTCTCCTGTACAATAAATAAATAAAAATTAAAAATGACTTATAACTAATTCGTCAGTGTTTGATAAATCACACTCCCGGGCAAATACCCTCCATATGCTTATAGCTGGAATCCTGCCATTTGTTCAGTTATCCCTTATCCATTCATTCCTTCTTTCCCCAGCACTGGAGACTGTACGCAGGGCCTCTGCATTGAGTCGAATCCCCAGCCCTTTATTTTTTATTTTGAGACAAGTTCTCACTAAACTGCCAAGTGGTCCAGGCTGGGCTGGAATTTGAGATCCTCCTGCCTCAACCTCCCCGATCCCACAGATTACTGCGCACTACCACCCTAGCGTATGGTTATTAGATCTATGGCAGTTACCATTCCTAGTCACTGAGGAGGTCTTCACTGATGGTTTTTAAAATCACAGTGACTTTAGAAACCCCCAGGCTACAATGGACAGGAAGCAGATGTGGGAAGGAAAATTATCTCATAATCCCAGAGTATCCTTTTAGAGCTATGATAAACCACAAAACTAAAGGAGACCCTGGGGGACCTTCTCTTCTTCTGGGGGGGCAGCATCTCATCACCCCAGATAGAATTTGCCTTTTTGTAGCTGGATTCCCCAAGAGTAAAAACTTCTGATCCTCTGAGAGGATGGTTGAAATGTCATTTCCAAATAAACCCCGGTTACCAACCTCACCCTCTCTCCAGCCCTCCTCCCCTCTCAAGATCAAAAGAGGCATTTGGGCCTTTAAGATAACATTCATTTGCAGAGAGATGGCAATATATAAGATTAATGAAAATTAACACAATCCCACCGAGTAGAAGAGCTTTTGTTCAGTCGTTTGTCCTGTTAATTATACGGTTGGGGTGGTGATAAATGCTTTAAATCAAGAGTGCCTTGAAAACCATTTCAATGATTTTCACTTAATTAGGTTTTGTGCCTCCTCCCAGCCGGGGATCCCTCTCCAGCCGCCTCTGCCTTTGGAACTCGGAACTGAGCCCTAAGCTACAAGGGGACCTGTCCTAGCTAGCCCAGGGCTGGCTGACCGCAACACACCCCGTGCCTCCTTTATTATGTTTAAAGTTGCTTTGCAAATCCAAGATCAAAAGAGATTTATCAATTTCAGTCTGGTCCCACTGGACATTGTGACAGGACCCGGGACAGGACAGGAGACAAGAAGGAAGGGCCCCTGCGATATCACTGTCAGATTAGAGGCGGAAGTGGGTGTGGGGCACCCAGTGGCCGGCCTTGAGGGCTGAGCTGGGGTAGTAGCAGCAGGGCTGGAAGGAGAGGGGAGCTGGCTTGTGCAACCCCCAGACTGAGAGTCTCCGAATCATGGAGGCTCCCCCTCTTTGCTGGCTGTTCTGGGGAAACCTCCCAGACTGCCAGGGCCTGGGCTAAGTGGACAGCAGTTCCAGCACCACAGTGGAGGCTCAGGAAGCAGACCACGTCCTTCTCCAGAGAGCCTCTGGCTTGCAACTCAGCACCAGCACCGTCCAGCCGGGGAGGGGGATCCCCTCTCTCTTCACTCTCCACCAGCCTATCTTGCCAGGAAATGCAGACTGCAGATAATTCCACAGCCTGGCGGCTCTGGGTAAACTACTCAAAGTTTCTGAGCCCTGTGTAATTTCTGAGGACCACTCTGTCCCTTTCCCTAGCAGGCAGACCCCTCCCCCAGCCTTTGCCCTTAGCTCATCTTCAGCCCTTTTTATTTTTGTTTGGAAATGGGTCTGGCTAAACTGCTAAACTGCCAAGGTTAGGCTCACACTTGCAGTCTTCCTGCCTCAGCCTCCCTCCCAGGATACTGGGATTATGGGCCAGTTGGAACCTCTGATTTGATGAGGGGTCTCCGGCCAGAGGCATCAGTATATCAAGTGTCTACTTCCCAGGAGCCGAAAGAAGCCCAGGGCAGCCACTCTCCTTGGGTTTTAACCTCTCCCCCACCGCACTGGAAGCCAAGAGACACAGGACGGAAAACAAGCCAAAATTCCTTCCCCAGCGCCTCCCATCTGAGAGTCCAGCCGCCCTGTTTGAAGTCGTGATCTCCGCACCCCTCCCCCAGTTCTTCCCCCGCATCCCGTCGGAACGGGAGACTTTCCCGGCACCCCTCCCCAGCCCCAATTACGCGGACGTTTTTGGAACATGTCTGTTAATGATTTTAGATCCCAAGGACTTATTCTGAATTAATTCCTTTTTAAAGGGCAGTTTGGTTTCCCATTAAGGGGCAGACCCCGAATGCCACCGCCTCTACCTTCATGCTAAATGAACTTTTTAGAGGTTCCAGATGCCGCCTGGCACCGGCCGGGGGAAGACAGCCGGAGAGGTCAGCTTGTGCCCGGAGAGATCTCGGGCCCAGCCCTGTCCCCATGCTGGAAGCGGTGCCTTCCTGAGCCAGGCATCTCAGAAATGCCTTTGAGACCCTGGGACGCTGAGCAGGGCCCTGCGCCTCCCAGAACTGCATCGGGAGCCCTGGTGTGAGGAAGTGGAGGCCCCAGGCTGCAAGCTCTAGCCCTCTGAATACTGTCCCTCCCCTGCAGGCCACAAGTGTGAGCCTTGGAGGGGAGTCCTGGGCCTTCCCAGAGGGCTGTCGGTCAGTCTTCTCTCCACAAAGTACACACAAGACTTACTGTTTTAATTTTTTGTTTTGTTTTTTAAGACATGGCCTCACTATGCAGTCCAGGCTGGACTGGACTCACCATGATTCTCCTGCCTCAGCTTCCCAAGTGCTGGGATTACAGATGTGTGCCACCACACCCGACTCATGCTTGGGTATTTTAACTAATTTTTAAGGGCCCAATTTAGTGGTCTTACGCGCATTCGTGTTGCTATGCAACCCTCACCAACACACACCTCTGGAGTATTTTCCTTCTCCTAGACCAGAGCTCTGTCACCATGAGACACTAACTCCCTTCCACCCGCCCCCAGGACACACCTACATGCTCCCTCTGGACCCACAGACCAGACCAGGACTCTGGCAGTGTGGTGCAGGCTGAGTCTTCAGTGTCTGTCGTTCCGCATCTAGCTGGTTTTGCTCCTTGTGATGCCCTTCTTTTTAAAGGCTACATACTATTCCACCGTGGGACCCATCACGCTTTGCTCATCCCCTTGCCTGATGGTGGATACGGGGTGGCTTCTGCCTTCTGTCTGCAGTGAAAAGTGCTGCTGTGAGCACAGGTGTGCACATATCTGTGTGAGTCCTTGCTTTCAGTTTGGGGGGCTTATGCTGGAAGTGGAGATTGCTAGGTCCTGCTCTCCAGGGCCAATATGAATGAGATCCCAGCCTGCTCTGCCTGTCCCAGGCTGGGACAGATGCATTCCAGCTCCGAGTTCCTGTGAACCAGAGTTGCCTGCCGCCATGTGTCCCTCCCTCTAGTGTACACATCTCCCCTTGCACTGGGAATTCTTTCAGGTAAGGACTCATTCACCAAGCCCGGTGCTTGGTATATGGGAGGTTCTCTAGGCTGAGGAAAACAAGCCAATTTTGTGGTCCTGGTTATTTCTAGGACGAGGGTCTCTTACATCAGGTACTGCACAAGTCTGCCTGAGGGGGAAATGCTTCATGTTACGTTAGTTGGGAAATAGGTGTGTCTCTTCCTTGTTCCCGTAGCATGGACACTCCTCTGTCTGCACCGGGACCAGCCTGGCTGGGATCCTGAGGCCAGGATGCCTGCGCCCCTGCCCCCAGTGGGATCTGTGCTTGGCCCACAGGTTGGAACAACCGCCCACTTTATCAGTGGGTAGACGAAGGCTCGGACATAGAGAAGGAGTTGGGTGAGTCATGCTGGCACCTACACGAACTGTGAGATCCTGGCCCTGTTCCCTCCAGCCTGAGTCTAGCTTTGTTGGTTTCTGGTCCACATATGAGGTTGAGAACATGGAGGGCACGGTAGTCAAGGCCCTGTCTCCTTCCCAGAGTTCCCTGACCCAAATCTCCCAGCTTTCCTTGCAGGTGTGGGGCGGGGGCCACTGAACCAAGTTATAACCAAGGCTTTGAGGAGGGTTGTAACCCTCCCCCAGGCCTGGTCCTTAACAGCTGTGCAGGTGACTCCTGCCTTCTCCTCTCCTCAGGTGACCTTGGTGGATGCCTGCAAGAAGATGATGTCTCGAGGTGGTAATGTGTCACCCCGTGTGGCCCAGTGTCTGCTGGCTGACCCGGCTCCTCTGTATCGGGGTCTCATCTGCTAGAAGGGGGCAGCTCTCGGGCTCCCAGCCCAGCACCCTGGTGGCCCATTCCCACTCTCCTGTGGTCTTGTGGAGACAGGCACCACCTTCCACTGACCCCCACCCTACAGAGCCAAACGGAGAGGCTGAGCAGCACATCGCGGCCCAGGGGACCTAGCCTGGGGACACATGTCACAGTGCAAAGGACCAACCGGAAGCAGAACACGCTGGACACTTGAGTTTTGGAGTTGTACAAATCTGTTCCTTGGGCAGCTGAGCAGGTCAGATGAAGTGCCTTGCCTCAGTTTCCTCATTTGTAAAACAAGAAGCTGATGGTCCCTCCTGCTAAAGACACAGCTTTCCTCTGCTAGGACTGAGGGAGACGCAACAGGTCTGTGGTGCTGAAATTCTGGATGTCGCCTGCACAGTTGTCACCTTCAGCCACCTCCCAGCTGGACTGAAGGAGCAAAGGACGATTTCCCAGCACGGGAGAAGGAAGTGGCCCGTGTGCTGTGCATTTTTGGAAGCACCGTTTTATCGGTGGAGAAACTAGCTTGAAAGCCCTGCCCTCTCTGGAGATGGCAGGTCACAAAGTGGGTGCAGAGATTCACCCCTAATGCTCCTGCTTCGGGCTCAAAGATCGCTGAGCACAGGTACCCATCTTCCAGGAAGGAATGCCTGAATCCACCGTCAAAAGTGCGCTTACCTGTACCCGTATGTGGGCAGAGGAAACTCCTGGAAATGTTCCTTGAACTTGCCCTGGCTACTTCCAGCCTCACCTCCTACCCTACCTACATATACCTGCTTCTTTGCCCTTCCCACATTGCAGCCTGTGTCAACCCCAGGCCCTTTACACTTG